CTGAGGTATCACACACCTCATGTATTCTGTACCAAGTTCATATTGAACTTCCTCCTGATATCATAAACTTATCTGATCCTCTGACACTAGAAAGGGATGATCCAGATCCATCATGTTCTTGCAGTGGCTTTGTGGTATAAGGGAGTAAGTCACTAAGGTGAAGGTCTATGAAACAGAAAAAAATCATAATTATACCTGAGAATATTGGGTTCTGGGGAAAAAGGACAGTGCTTTCTCCTTCATTCATAAAGAATCTTGCCCATTTTGGGCGGAACCACAAAATAAGTAACAATTTTGAGAATTCATTATATATTTCTGTAACTGTACACTTAGGAAAAAAAATAATAAGCCAAATTTCTTTCTTAGGAAAGTCTGAAATTTTGCAGCCCTAGTACACTGGGGCAGATGTAAAGAAAATGTAAGACTTGAGAATTTTCTTCTTTCTAAGATTTTCCCACCAATGACTCAGGCCTTGTTCCTTTGAGAATACAGAAGTATCCTCATGCAGGATTACATGAGGTGGCAACTTTTTGGTCTGCTCACAGGTTTTGCTCCTGCGAAGGGGTGGTTGATGCCAAGTCTGCTAAACAAGGTATGCTCCCTCTTCCTGCAGTCCATCCTAGGGCACATGGGGTGGCCTGGGATCTCCTCTCCCTGCAGCAGTGCCTGCATTTTATACAGTCAGAGTACATTGAAATAAACATTACAGAAGTATTTTTTCCCCTCTGAATAAGTTACTAGCCATGATAGCTCTAACCAAGCATGCAATTACAAGCAGTACCTCAGCCTACAGGAGAACAATGTTTAATGCAGCATACAGAGCTCTCTGGTGTCCTATACGTGCAGTCACCATTTCATCCCCAAAGTGACTGAGGTGGAGACACGACAAGGCTAAAATTCAGGGCTACCTGATTTCCCGTCAGTACCAATAGCACAGCAGATAATCGCTCTGTGACCATGAAGTCTAAGTTAGGGTTAAGATAAACTTGGGCAAGTTATCTTCTAGGGCAATAGAATTACATAGCAAACAGCAGTCCTCAAATATGACGTGATTGAAATCTCAGAGGGCAAGTTATCTGACTTTTAACCCTACTGAATGATTTGGGAAATAATATATACTGAAAGGCAGGGAAAATCCTGAAGCCACTTAATCATCATGCTCATTGATGATAGTGACGATGGGGGACTGTTAGGCTTCAGAATGCGTTTTCCATAAATGAAAAGAAAACTCTTTATATATCCTAGGAAAGTTAAGTTGTATCGAAATAATCTGTTTTCTGATTGAGAATGTCAGAGTTGGACTCCACACTGTTCCTCTTTTTCTGAATTTCATTCTTTTCTCTGGAAATGGCAGGCAAATCCATGCTAAATATTAGGAACAGTCGCACTGACTACTTCACTGAAATGCACAAATACTTGGATTTGGCTTAACAGCATAAATTAACAAAAAACAAATTTATCAAAACAAACCAGCTATATTATAAATCTAGACCAACAGCATCTTTCAAACCATGCATACTCCAAAAGCTAGACAAAATAGAAATAGCATTTCTACATCTTTCGTTTTGCAAACCTTGTATCTAACTCACACAGCTATCATTCCATTGGTGGTGTGCCAGCATCAGACTGGGATAACAGTGGGGAATTGGGCCTGTTGGTTTCTTCCTAGTAAAAGAAATGGAAGTTAAAAAAACAAAAAGCACCTTTTAAAGCAAACTAATGTAACAGAATCCCTTTGTGAATGTACTAGAATCAGCATATGGCAATTTAGCCCAACCCAGTACACATTCTTATTCATTAGACAATGTCCAGAGTCTCTGGAGAGAATATCAAACGTTATACTGGAGGCTATGCTACAATAACAAATGCTGAATATTTTGAGAAAAAAAAATCAAGGAGTGAATGTTAAATATGAAATCCGTGTGAATTTTTTCTAATAGTTTTTTAAGTAAGGTTTCTTCATCTTTAGAAATGAGGAAAACTGAAGGATAAAAAATTCACTTAGCTTAGCCAACTGATTATATCTATTCTAACTTGGTATGGTTGCTTGGGAGCTGTTTTGCTAATCCCTGCTTTGTCGTTAGGCTATATATTAGCAGGATGGAAATGGCATCACTGCACCATAATTCAGCAATATGAATACAGAACAAGGAGAGTGCAGAGCTATCGGCGGCAGTACAACAGCAGATAATAAGACTCTGTTACTCAAGCAGAATGTGTTATGTAAAGACAATTGCAGTGTAGAAGCAATAGCTCTAATCAGGTTAATTAGGCTGTATTCATGTTTCATTTATGGCGCAAGTGCCCTGTAAATTCAAAGCAGTCTACCTTATGCTCTCTGTAGCACTCAACACCATCTATTTTCTTCCTTAAGAAAAATCCCAAGGTATTTCCCATCACTTTTTAAGAATTCCTTTTCTTCATTGTTTATGAGGAAAAAAAAAAAGGGAAAAGATACTGGTTGTGTATAAAGCCAGTGCCCACATTAAAGTTCCTTCCTCTGCAAACAAATCAGGCACTTATAAGTTGTTTGTGGAGGGCCTGTTTATGTTCAGTTGTTCCTTTAAGGAAATAATGGGTACAACAATTCAGAGATCTCTTTCTCCTCACCATCAAGAAAACAAGCCCAGGTAGAGAGGAGCTATTAAAAAGAGAGAACACATGCTGCAGACGAAGGGAACGTGTCAGCCTGCACAATCTTAATTATTTTAGCTGTCTAGCAATCAGCTGTCTACATGCTGATTGTGAGCTTAGGCTCAATGTTCCCCATTAAAAAAAGAAATGTGGTATTTTTACTACCCAGTTAACACAAATCTATTCATGTTACACCTTAATTATAAAGCCTTTTATTACACTTGAAATATGTTATAGCTCCATTGTATGTGTCCCTTAGACATTATTTCAATATGCTGTTAAGAATAATGCTTCAATTAATATTTGCATCTATATAGTTCTGTAAATAAGATATATATATTCTTATATATTCTGTCCTTAAGAGGTGTGGCTAGTTGAGCACAACAGCACAATATTATTGCAGAGGTCAAGCTGTGGCACTGATGAGCAATGCCATACGAGTGGGGTGACAGAAGCAGGAGAGTTTTGCATGGTCCTGCTTGCAGTATTACACTGCTGCTCTGTGCTTACTTCCATTCTGGCTGAAGTATTTTGACTGTTTGTAAGACATTTCCAACTACATTTGACAGTCTGGCATGTATGCCAAACAAGGTATGCCACTGAACTTCACAGGGCCCACAAGGCTAGTATATCTTGTTATACCTCACACAAGTTAGGATCCTAGAAGAAAATATCAGGGAAGACTCATGTACATTTAATTTTTCGCCATCTGAACGCACAGTGAACCAACACCCCAATTGCTACTCTCTTAAAATGGTTCGTATGTCTATCATATATTTTTAAATATTTTACTAGACACACATTTAATTTCAAGATAGATCTGACTACTCAGCCAATTGCATATCTTTCCCTTTATGAAAGAAAGCTGCGACATTAAAATTCTCAAGATTTCTGGAGGTATTGGTAGCAAAGGTGCCCAGATGAGATAGCCCTGGTTTGACTTTTGGTTTTCCCCTGTTTGCACATCCAGGACGGCTGTGGGGAGCAGCAGCAGAGCAGAGGGGCTGAGCGTGCACCACACGGCTGCGTCCCTCACTGCAGCTCAGGTGCACTGGCACCACAATAATGAACTTCATTATTCCTCAGTCAGGTGGCATCACTCCAAGTAAATGAAGTAATCGTGTAAAGGGACTGCTTGATGGAGCTTGCAGTAAATATATTCTCAGGTCTGATGGTAGAGGCCTCAGGACCTATGTTCACGTTTCGCCCTTCTCCTCCCTGATGAATTGCAACAGCCAAGAAAACCTTGTTCCCCTCCTGGAGGATAGAGTCTAGGTGCCTGACTATGTGCATTACTTGCAAGTATGCCGTACCTTTCACAGCCTCGAGGAAATACCAGATATACATTCCTGAGCTCTCCTTCCTGCCCCTTCAGTAACCCTTGTACCCAGGTGGTTTTTTACGTGATATTTAATTTACCATTTGACCAAAAGACAAGCTTAAATTCAAAGTAAATGTTAAACACTCATAAAAAAATACGTAGAACTGATGTTAGGGAGCAAAATCCCTCCTGGCTTAGTTTTGCTAAGGATTGATCTAAATGTTATTACTACAAGTGGGAAATTCTGGATCTGTTTTCCCAAGGGTAGCAGAAGCCAAAACCCCATGAGATCCCACTGAGAAGGACCAGATGCTCCCAATTCACTGAGGTCCTTCTGGAAAGGTAACTGATTTGTTCTTAGATTCTTTTCATAAACAAAGACATTCATTTCCCTCCTGTTTTCATAGGATAAACTTTGACCATTAACCAGAAGGTAATGTGAGGGTCATACTGACAAGATTTGTCTACCCAGGGGTGGGTAACAAGATATGCTTGGAAAGACAGCCATGGTAGAGATCATGAAAACACAGATTCTCATTGCACGTTTATGAGCTCTAAGGTATCTCAGTCCTAAATCTACAAGATCAATTGTGGATCCTCCTCCAAAAGCAGAGTTTTAGGGTGACAGAGCAAGGTGTATCTCCAAAGCTGTGACCCTTAGCAAGAGCAAATTATCAGGAGATTGAAGAAATTATTGGAGAAAAGCTAAGTTATGTCAGTTATGATTAAGGAAATATTTTTATTTCATTTTAAATTTTGATTATGTCTTTCCCGTAGAACTACAATGTGGAGAAATGGGGAAAAAGTAGCAAGCAAGATATTTGAAAATGAAATCCTTATTTCACATAGAAAGTAAGTCAGTTGAAATCATGAGGTGGTTTGAAGTTGTCAGCATTCATGACCTCAAAAATGTTTATTTTTTGATTGATCAATACGCATTCTGAAGCACACTTATTTGTCAAACCAACATGCCAAAAGAAACATGTGATTGCATATGCCTTTATAAAAGAGAACCCAGCATGCTCACCTTTACTTTATTTCCATCATGAGGGGCTTGATATTAACCCTGATTTTAACCGTGGTAGGTAAGTAATTGATCTGCTTTGATGAATTTGAAAATAATAGATTCAGGTAAAAGTTTCAAAATCTAAATACAGTTCCCTTGCAAACATGAACTTCAATGTTTTATGGGAAAAATTATTTTATGACAATTTTTGTTGTTGTTTAGGGAAAAAAGGCTTTTGGCTATGTGATGAACTAGAAGTAAAGTTACCTAGAAAGGGTTATACCGTATGTACAAGATGAGATGTAGCTGTTCATACTAAAATATATTAATATTTTGGTGGAGTTTTTTTGGTTTATCACTTCATTTCTCTTTTTTTTTCCTTTCTCTTTCAGGGAGCCAGCACCTTAATTACCGTAAGTAATTTTCCCATCAGCTAATATAATTATAATTAGTGAAATTCAAAATAGAATCTGAAAAGTTTATCAATGTTTAATATAATTTTACAACAGCTAATTTTGTTCAGGTGCAATACAAAAACGAACAAATTTACCTTTTTTTTGTTCCATTCATTCTAATCCAGGTACTTTAATGTGTTCTGTAGAGTCTCTATAATGTTTTACGGGGACCCTTTCTTTGCAGAACCTGATTTCAGTGAAAACAAGGTTTATACGTTTGATTATGAAAGCACGATTCTCAGTGGACTTCCAGAGAAAGGACTTGCAAGAGCTGGCATAAGAATAAGAAGTAAAGTGGAAATTAGTGGTATTGGGCCAAAACTTTGTCTTATTACGGTAAGAAAATATATTCAATTTGAAATGTAAAATTCTCTTCGTACTCAACTTCTTTTTTAAGCTTTTGGGAAGTAATTAAGTTTCATCATGTGTTGTGCTTACTCAGGGAGAATGTAACTAATGCTATTATTTTTTATGCAGCGCCCTAAATTCTATTTGCACTTTGCCAGGTAATTCTCAGCTCAAGCCAGCCTTGGGCTTGAAGGATTTCTTCTGCTTTGTGGTCAGGGAGACAATGGAATGTAATTTGAAATGCACAATAATTTATTACTGGATCAATCCAATTGTTCCAAACTGTACAACCTAGGATTATTTAATCAACTGATTTCGTAACCAGCAAATGAAAGGCAATAAAACATGCGACGGTTGCTGGATGTGATTCAATATTTAGCATAATTAATGTCATCTGGTGGCTTCCTTTTCTGCAGGGTCCCAAATGACATTCTTTGTCATCCTCAATTGTATATTTTTACTGCATGCTGAGTAATTACTAAGAGTTTTGATTATGTGAAAAACACTTTTGCCTTTAACAGAAGCCTATACGTGCTTCTAATGAATGTATTGAAATGCACTCCTCAATCGCTTTACACAAACTCCACTTAGTCTTCTGTATACGTGGAAGAAAAATGATCTTTTTAAGAGCTTTTATTTGGCAAACTGAGTACTGCAGATTAGAAAGACTGGTGACTGTTTGATAAATGCTTTTAAATGCTGTAGCCTTCCAGCCTGAATTAGCCTTCTGTTACTAGGTATTTTTATAAGTTCAAATTATAATAGATCTAGACAGGAAACATTGCTTTTCCATGACCTTTGCAAATGGTTGGATTTTTCGGCAAAAAAACCCCAAACAAACAAGGAAATAAGAGCCACCCGTCCACAGGGGTGAGTAGAAGGCTTCCCTGGCAGAGAGAAGGCATAATGAATCTTGTCTTTGCCTCACATCCTCCCCCCTTCCTGCCAAAACAGCTCTTGGTGTGCCAGGTTGAGTCTTCACCAAAAATTGACTCCTGTTCCCTTAAACCTTCCTATACCACTTCACCTGCCCACTAAAACCTTCCTATACCACTTCACCTGCCCGTGTGCACTTGGGAAAAAGTTTCATTTTCAAAAACAAATACAGGAAGAATTTCAGGCAAGAAAAAGAAGAGGAAAAGAAAAAAGAAACCATGAGATTTTGGGGCAAGTTCTAAGTGAAAGGTAACGATACATTTATTCCCTTCTGCTCTGGGAAAAGTTTATTTTGCTGCTGTTATATTTAAATTAGACACTTTGGAGGGATGGTTCAGGGAATTAATCTTTCATCTATAGCCTACTAGTTCTCATTCAGCCCAAGCAAAAAAAGCTGTGTTCCCTGGGCAGTTTCCAGCTGACGATTTTTTTTTCATCGCAAACCCACAAGAAGCGCCAGCTGTGTTCAAAACCTAGCAGACAGCCTAAGTCCTAACTGGGCCCCCAGGGCTGGGGAAAACTACCTCGCCCTGACCCTGCGGAGCAGTCCCAGACCTGCCCGCATGCAATATGCCAGCAGCATGTCCAAGAGGCAGCATGAGGGATTTGCTCTGTAACAGCCTCCTCTGTAAGCTTCAGTTACCAGGGCTGGCAGTGATCTCCACCAACAGTAACAAAAATAAATATGAAAGTGTGGTCTCCAGTGATTTGCTGCATGAGGATTTAGTTTGAGTGGCTTTTTTGAGAAATTAAGCCGTGTCTTGCATCATATCTCCAGCCTGAGGTGTTGGAGGAAAGTCTCTTTAAATTGTCAAAATATATAGAAGGGAAGGGTCCTCTGAGAAACTAAGCTAAACATGCCCTGTTCCCATGGAGCAGAAATCATTCGAGTTATGCATAGTTTAGCACAACTTTCTACTTGCTTGTATGTGCCCTGGGTTGAGACTGGAGTGCGATGTGCAGAGTGGGGTTGGGGCAGCGCCTGAGCCTTCGGCTCCGCAGCAAGACGTGTAGGGGAGGACAATTTGTGTAATCTGCTCTCCGCTGTTCAAGCTAATTACAACTATCTGGCTGGCCCAGCACCCATGTTGTTATTAGTTTCTGACTGCTGTCTGTGCTCCACGACCCCGGTGAGGGAGACGGCAGAGTTCACAACAGGAGTTAATGATGCTTTACGCAACATTAACTTTCTCCTGCAATTTCCTGCAGATCTTCCATGCTACTTTTGGGTAGCAACCTGCTTCGCGCAGCTCTGGCTCATTTCTTCGTACAAGTCAACCTTTGGCAATATGGATTATCTATGAAACAGAACAGAGTGCAGTGACTGTGGAAATATCACAGGCATTTGCATTACTCTCTTTCCTTTTATATATGGAAATATGTACGTTGATAATAGCTATGTAAAGTGACAGCTTTTAAGTTTTCCCTTTGAACAGGCTTTGTGTTATTTAAAAATGTACTTTTGATGTAAGGAAAGCTTTAGATACCCATGTGCATTGAAAAAAGTTAACTTTTTTCAAGATAAATTTGATTCCCCCTTTCTTCTAGATTCACTCAATCGAAGCAGCAGAGTACAATGGTGTCTGGCCTACGAGCTCATTCTCTCGATCACTCAAACTGACCCAGGTACTAACTGGGCAACTCAGTAATCCCATCAAGTTCGAGTACAGCAATGGCCACGTTGGAAAGATTATGGCTCCTGATTCTGTCTCGGATGATGGTTTGAATGTCTACAGGGGAATCATGAATGTGCTGGAGATAAGCATAAAGAAGATGCAGCATTCATACAGCTTACAGGAGGTGAGCTTTTTACTGTGGTCACTCTGTAAATAAATAAACCTTCTCTGCAGATTCTTCTACTGGATTTTCTGAGTCCATCCTTGACATAAACTTCACTAACAAAAAACACCTAAGCTTGGGAAATCGTGATTGAGTTGTTCTTATGGGACAACATTTGATGGAGCTGTAGCTAAACAGGACAGCAGAATAGCAGATTTTTCATCTGGCTGATCAAAAAATCAGAAAATGCATTTGCAGTATTAGACCCTAAGAAAATCTGGCTTGTGGTTTTAGAGAAAGTAAACTCCTGTGAAAGCCGAAGACTACATAAAATCTGAATAGCGTATTAAAACAAACTTAAACATACAGCACAAGATTAAAGCTAAAATATCAGTAATTTGACTTTTTTACCAATCATACATACTTTAATCTCTTTTAGCTTCTCTTTTAGAAGGAAAACAATCTATATGCCATGACACTGCTGTAATAGCTTTGACAGCTGCAGTTGATGCTCTATCGGAATTCCACTGTTTTTCAGGTTTTAATATTTCAGTCAAGGTAAATCATCTGATATTACTATTCACCACAGAAATTGCAATGTGTTTAGTTTTTGCAAAACCATATTTACATTGATTAGACTACATTTGATTCAGAGATCAGCAAAAACCTTGAAATTATTATAGTTTCATGTTATTTTATTGAAAGTGCAGACCAGAGTAGCTTTAATTTTTAAAAAATTTATCTTTATCTAAGTAGAGCTGTTTCTGGGAAAGGAACTACATGATTTAATATTTTCACGCCACTTATTGCACGTAAAAACCCGGGTGGTGGTGTCGCATATTCTACAGCGCTATATTCTCATATCTTGTTTTACATCATCATTGTTTCTAATTCAGTTTGCAACATGTCCTACTCTCGCTGCTTAGCGATATATGTGACTTTACCTCCTAGAATGGTCTCCAAGTTTTCTTTGCTGTTCTCAAATAGCAACTGATTAATGAGCATTGGCACCCTTGCTTGACAATCTCAAGTCACACTGTAAACAAATGTATTATTAGTCCCAAAATCTGAGCTGCGGAGGGGTTTACAGGACTAACCCATGAAAGTCTATGTCACAAACTGCAGGGCGTATGGTAAGGGTATCTGAGGTAGCCAGTAGAGCTAGGCAGGAGGCTACTTCGTCCCACTGAGCCCAGTGGGCTGGACATTCCCATTTAAAGTCTCAATGTCTCTACCACACCATGCAGTCTGCAGAGGAGCACCACACCTGTATTTGCAGAGTACAGATGTTTCAGAACACTTGGGCAGTTCTGGTTTCTAGCCCTCGCCAAAGCCCCCTGGTGACTTCAGGAGTACTGTTCAGCTGCAGATGAAGTGGTGTGGCTTGCCTCCCAACCACCACATGACCATTTTGCTGTGCTGACATAGCCCAAAGCAGCTCTCTGGAGTGGCTATGCTATCAATAATAATAAAAAACCCATGAAAATAAGCCTTCCTCCTAAAATGCAATCAAATATTTTCCTCTCCAAAGATCTCCTCACTGACTGAGGAGATTTAAGAGCTCTTATAAATATATATGCTTCAAATATTATTGAAGATCTGAGCTAAAACTGCAAACTCAAGAAAACCCACAATCAAAACTCTGCTATCCTGAAATTCTTTTTAATTATTGCTGTTCGTGCTGTGACAGATCATCTGATATTGCAAGGCCTGTTCCATAGGCATTTATAAGCTGTCTATAAAAGCACATTTTAAGGGCAGAATGTCATCTCCAATCTTAAAATACTTTGCTGTTGAGATTTTATTCTGACTGATCAAATTATTTTGGCACTTTTTATTAATATTCCTCAAATGGTATTTCATAATCGACAGCTCTAACTGGAAATTGTTACTCACCTTTTCTGAGGCTCCAAATCTTGTCTCAGTGAAACACTTGAGAATTTTAGTTCTCTCAGGGAAACTCTGATTTGGCTTACTAGAAACCTGTACAGGTAAAAAAGAGATTAAAGTAATGAACATCCCAATTTTGCTTCTGTAGAGTACGATGACTAAAAAAGCAATCATTTCTATCAGGAATTTTGAAAACACAGATTTAAACAGGAAAGTCCGTGCAAGGAATTGATGAAGCTCTGTGTAAGAGTGGACTTCTCTCTCTGATCACGTTCTCATTTTTGCCAGCCCGGGATTGGAGGTATTTGTAACACAACGTACGCAATTCAGGAAAACAAGAGAGCAAACCTGGTCTATGTGACTAAATCCAAGGACCTGAACAGTTGTGAAGACAAAGTACAAATGGTCACAGGTTCAGCTTACACTTATCCATGCCAGACCTGCCAGCAGGTAAATTAGGGTGGTATTATATTAGGGTGGTATACATATTTTATATTCATATACAGGGAGCCATTTGGCATCCACATTATCTCTTGCTTTGTTACACCTAAAATGAGTGAAGAGTCAGATCTTCCGTACCTAGTTATCAGCATTTTCTTTCTGCATGAAAATCAGATCCACGGAACAGCAGAGGTCTGTGCTGCAGACTATCACGTACTGCAGGCACACTTCAACCAGCTTAAACTAGCTGGCTTGGAAACCATTAATTATCAGCATGAGCTAATTCACCTACTCCGTGGAGTTATAAAGATAGTCACGATGTCCAGTTTCTGCTATTCAAGATAGGTACTGCTGCATCTCATTATAATCCTGTCTTTGAAATAAGAAATCAGGTGGCTTGTACTGCTGCTCTCCTCAGAAAATGTGTCTCCTTCTCAAGGGAATAACCAATTACTTATATTTGGGAAAGAGAAAAACAGCTAAGACTTCTGAGTGGTAAAAGCAATGGAGCCAGGCAGTGTGCCTGACCTCTCCCATGGAAGTGTGCACATTGAATTCGCATAAAGTTCTCGTATGGACAATGAGCAAAACAGCCCTAGAAAATAAGTGGGTTGAAGTGGGTGATGTAATGGCTTCTAGTCATAGAATTTAGAAGTTCAGTAACTTTCTATTTTCTTTGTTTCTTTGCTTTTTTTTTATATTCTACAGAGAAACAAGAATTCCCGGGCAACTGCTACTTACAATTACAAAATTAAGTATACACGTAATGAAGCTGTAATTACACAGGCTGATGTTGAGGAAATCCACCAGTTTACACCCTTCAATGAGATAACAGGAGGAAATGCTATAGTAGAAGCAAGGTACTGTACATATGCCTTTAATTCAGCAACTAGCTCAGCATCTCAGTAATCTGGTCAAACTCCATAACTGAAATAAATCCTTTACTTCCACAGCCTATTGTTTGCCAGTATTTAATTACATAAAATCCCAAGCAGTTCATAAAAACAGCCTTCACTGTTAGTTGTAAATCTGAAACATGCACATCACTATCCGAATTTTGTTAGCTAAACTTGGCAGGGTTTGACTGTTTGTTTTTTTTTTCTCAGGGATATTTGATTTATGTCATAAAAGCCAAAACAAATGTAATTCCTTCTGAAAAATTGTGAACTAATATATTTGCAGTAAAATACTTTGAAAGACAGTTACTCACTGAAAGAGAGTTCCCCGGAAAATAATAATGCAGTAAGAGACCCTGGAGACTAGTTCACAAGAAACCTAGATAGGACTTTGGATTCCAATATACTTCCTAAGTACAGTGGGCTGCTTGCAAATCTCCCATCAAAACAGTTTCTTGATAAGAAATTGGTTTTTATTGCGAAAAGATTGGACACAAAGCATATAAAACATATTTGCTTTTCTACAGCAAATTTTGCATACTTCTTAAACCATTTTGGAGCAAAATGAGGATATTATTGTCTAAGAAATTAAAACTCTGCTCTTTTTTAGCTCAAGCCCCCAAAATTCTTTCATCTGCTTCAAAATCATCTACTAAAAGAATTTTTAGTTACCTGCTTTAGTGATGGACTCTGTAGACAGGGGTCCCCTACTGAAGAGAGAGGCTTTTTGGATAAAACTGTATAGAAGATGTACCTCAGTCTCACTCCAGCTGCTGTAATCTTGCACTGCTCCATTAGCTTCTGCAAGAATCTATTGGTATAACATACAGTATTGGAAACTGCAACATCAGAAAGTTCATGTCAATAAATCACTGATTAACTTCATTAATATGATGAACATGTTCAACAAAAAAAAAAGTGACAGTGGCTTTACTATCTCATGCAATCAAGGTGAAGATAGGTACAACTGCAGTGCTTTTATCACAGAATCCCAGACCGTTAGGGATTGGAAGGGACCTCGAAAGCTCATCCAGTCCAATCCCCCTGCCGGAGCAGGAACACCCAGATGAGGTTACACAGGAAGGTGTCCAGGCGGGTTTTGAATGTCTGCAGAGAAGGAGACTCCACAACCTCTCTGGGCAGCCTGGGCCAGTGCTCTGTCACCCTCACTGAGAAGAAGTTTCTTCTCAAATTTAAGTGGAACCTCCTGTGTTCCAGTTTGTGTCCTTTAATTAAATTATAGGTGGTTGTGAGTGAGCACTGGTCTGGAGCCAATGGACTTTTGCTGATTTAACCTGTTCTTCTGCAAGACTGCATAGATGTCCTTCCTCTTCTCCCTCTGGTATTGAGCCCCCAGAAAGGGTAGTGCCCTTACTTTTCCCCGTTTTCTCTAGATCTTTTGCATTTCCCAGCAGATTATATTTAATAATATAAGATACTGGGGAAGATGTGGTTATGTCATCAGCCAAATCTTCAGAAGTTATTTCTACAATGCACCTTCTGAGTGGAAAAAAAAATGAAAGAAAAATCTAACATCAAGGACTTAAAACATTTGGAGCTGGGTTTTCAGACCTGTTCAGCATAAGCCTCTTGCAGCACCTTTCAAAGCTAAGAGAGGTTTTACTATTGTTTCACCGTTTTAATCCTATCTTTAGTATTCACTTGCTTTTCTCGTCAGAGTATAGCATTTTCTCGTCTAATCTAGGCAGATATATCTCTTCCCAAAATGAAGAAGATGAGGACATAATAGATTTATCATGTTCAGGAAGAGGGAGTTAAATCTGTCCAAGCGTACCTGATGTTATACTTTCTGACCCAAACACTTTCTATAATATTGTATAAAATTTCCAGCGAGAAAAAAATCTCTGCTGATTCTGTAGCGATTTCTATTCAAATTCCAGTGGCTTGTTTGCAAAGCAGTTATATGCTATTTTCTGCAGCAGTTCTCTGCAATCCATACGGAAGGAGTGGATAGAAATGACACAGAAGATCATCATGGAGATTCCAAAATAAACGTGCCAATTTTCTACAGAGATTTTGAGATACTGTGTAGCACAACAATATTGCTTTGGGAATATTTTCAGTTGTTCAGTTCAAATGCCTAACTTTATTACAGTGTCCTCAGTGACGTATTTTAAGCATAATTGGTGGGATAGGATGCATCCCTTTAGCTGAAAGTGTAGCAAAGATAGAAAGTGTTTACAGTTTCACTGGAATTATTCTTAATAATAAAGGATGAAGGTTTGGTGCTGCTTGAAAAGTATCCAATAACTTGAGTACTTTTCCAAAGACTAGTCCTGAATTTATCTGGCCCTTTTTGTTTGGGAAATCCAATTTGAAACTTCATGAGAATCAAAAGCCTTTTGAAACAATTGTAGTTGCATTGCAATGCAGGGAGGCAGAAACACTGTTCTGTTTTTAGCTTGTACCTTGTATCTCATGATGTTATCTCCCCGGCTTCCTCCATTCCAGGCAGAAACTTGCTTTGACTGATGTGCAAAAGAGCATGACAGAGGTCCCATCAAAAGAATTCCAATATCGTGGGTCAATTCAGTACCAGTTTGGCAGTGAATTGCTTCAGCTTCCTGTCCACTTATTCAGAATAAAAAATGTGGAAAGCCAGGTAAAGTTCAGCCACTGGACAGACAGTTTGTTGGAGGTTGGAATCCATGCGTGTGGAAAACAAAATGTGTGAGCCTCATGCGTTTTAATCTTCCTGCAGATAGAGGAAAGCCTGCAAGACCTAGTAGACACCACGTCTGAACAGCTCACCAGCGAAGCACCAGCAAAAGCTCTCAAATTGCTGCACCTCTTCCGTGCAGCAAGTGAGGAGGATTACGAGTCAGTGTGGAAGCAGTTCTCCAGTCGGCCAGCATACAGGTACAAGAAATAGGAGTGGTGATTCTGCTGATAAACTCTGTTGGACACCATCTGGAATGACTATGTTCAAATGGTCATTGCCTTTTCCGTTACAGGCGGTACATTTTGGATATAATTCCTGCAGTTGCCAGTCACCGTGCACTCAGGTTCTTGAGGCAAAAAATGGAAAGGCAAGAGCTCACCAACTGGGAAGCGGCTCAGACGGTGCTTGTGGCCCTGCACTCAAGCACACCCACTCGAGACGTGATGGAGGAAGCAACGGTAGGATTTGCTAAACACTCCTGAATTGCTCTTTACTGATTTTAGCATCTGTCCTATTTATTCCTTTGACAAGATTGCAAGGGCTTTGAAAATATAAAGGTTTTATAGCCTTTAGTGAAGTTGAAAGGATTTTATTTCTTATCTGCCTTAAGGGGAGGAGAATGCAAATCAAAGGGGCAAAAATGAATGCAAAATAAAACAGGAAAGAAAGAGTAAAGTATCCCTTAGTCACAGAGTTTATTGCTGCAAACAGTAATTTCTAGCCTCTCTTTGTCCAAATGTACTTTAAAGTTACTTCAGATTAGACCTCTAACTGAGTGTTTGCAAAGTCTAAGGAGTAAGAAATACATATTTGTTATATCCTGTATTCTTCCTGATTGACCTAGCAGGATGGGTATAAATTGGAGCAGATCTATCAAAACCAAGGGAGTTCTGCCAATGTGGAGGCCCACAGGAGAAAGTCTAAATTTTTTACCATTTTTAACTCTTCTGCAAGGTCTAATTCTAGCCTGGATGCAGGAACTTATCTCTGCCTGCCCTAGGTAGAAACCACGTATCTCAGAGTTTGCCCTCTGTAAAAGCCGTGACAGCCCGGCTCTTGCTGTGCAGTAACGCTCTGCTTCCCACTCCAGGAAGCAATGGGCTGGTGCCTCCTGTCAGCCACTATGTTTATACAAAATATTCCTGTCTGCTCAAAGATACATTCACAATGTATCTAGACTTTTTGGTACCTATAGCTGAGGCAATTATAAAACAATGACTAATATTTCTTTACTAAAGTGTGTTTTTCCATTCCATAACTGGGTGATTTCCTTCCTTTGGACTACAGCCTATGCCAAATTTAAATCTGAAGCACCATAAAAGCAACAGATCTGCCTTCCAGATGTTACTTGGAATTACTTTACAATTGCGTTTTCAAATACAGTGATATCCACTGATTAACTATAAATCCATTCCTAGAGAAATATCAAAAGCCTGGTTGTACCTTGCAATTGGCAGAAACATATCTTTCAGTATTATTGCTCTTCATTAATGTTGGTAATGAACAACTGCTTTCTCTCCAGCAAATCGTGAAGAAACATTGCCCACGCTCAAGTACTGTACTTGGAAAGGTTTGCCATCTCAGCTACGCGTCACTGTGCCACAAACAGTGCTCTTCATCAGACTCCTGCTCTGAATGTCTCCAGGTAACCACATTGTTATTTCTCCTTTAAAAGAAAATTTAAGCCTTGAGTTCTTTCTTCATTATTCAGAAACCTGTATTTCACTTCACTACAGTGTTTCCTTTGGGGAAAGGAGCCCCAGTTGCTTAAATACAGCATTTTTATCTTTAGATTAACACACGAAGGAGAGTGAGAGGAAGAAGCATATAATTCATAGCACTTTCTGTCTGAGTATCTCTGAGTGCTTTATTGCCAATTATTAATGAAGTCCCATGGCACTGCTGTGAAACACTTTAAATATAGATACTTACATTTGCTTATAAATAAACTAAGTGACACAAAAGCCCAGGTTTTTGCCCAAAGCCATGTAGCCCAGCCATTTCTCAGCCAGAAGCGGAGCCCAGTCATCCACATAGACTATAAGCTTTTAATAATAGAAATACCCTCCCTGTTCTGCACTGCTTTTAATCAGCAGGCCTGAAAACAGTTTAAATAGGCAGTAAACATCTTTTCTCCATTTAGTGGTGCATGTCATGGTTTACAGAGGTTGGCCACTCAGCCAGTAGTAGTGAGGGAGAAACAGCACCAAGTGTGTTCAGTCCTGGAAGCCGGTCAGTCCACCATCCCCAGCAAGAGCAGTGTATTCCCAATAATTTCTGTGCCTGCCATGATTTTTTCCTGTAGTACAAAGCCATGGCTGACATTCCTACATGCATCTCCTGTGTTACAATGCTCTTGAGCTAATTAAATCTAAGCCCAGTGCCAGCAAATGGAAATTCATTCCCAAAGAAAATGATTGTATATGCCTATTCAATGCATTTCAAATGTCCGTTTGCTCAATTAGTAATATCAAATGGACTGTTTCTGTACCATCAATGGATCTCAAATGTGATATTTTAAAGCATGGGAGCTGTATTGAAATTATTCTGTAACATCTCAGGGTCTCTTTTTTAGAGCCATTTTTTTAGCAGTAAAAACTGTTTTCTGTTAGGGTTCAATTCTCATTTCATATTCAGCCTTCAGACAACTGTTTCTAATCTAGCCACATAAAGGTAAGTGTGATGCAGTTGCTTATGATGAAGGCTGTAAAATGACCTGGTGATTGCATGGCCAGCTATTAATCCACAATGAAAAGTAGCTGTCATAGCTGAAGTTAAGGGCACCACCACTAGCTGTATCTTCAGGAATCTTATTTAAGAGTCTGAAGAATTTAACAGTATCTGCATTTTTGTCTTCAACCATTAGACAGAGATATTCAAACAGCGTTATTGCAGGGCTCCCAACTCACCCTGAAAGTCAGTGGGAGCTAGCTCGTAGCCAATACTTATTCCTTTAAAAATCTTACTTGATAACTTTAAGGCGTAGTGATGTAGAAGCTGTTCATTGCAGCATTCTTGTCTATGCTTGTTCTATGAATAAAAAGTCCTATTCATAAGGACAAAAAGCACTTGAAAATATTTAAAATAAGTGAATTGAAGAAACTGAAATTATCAAAGTCAAACCTCAGAATAGGCTGGTGGATGGGATATAGATAAGAGCTGGAATTGAACTCAACAGAAGATTTGTTTTCTTTTTTTCAGCTACTTCATGGCTTTGCAGGAGAAGCATTGACCAAGTCGAATACAGAAGAAATTTGCCTGGCTTTGAAAGCCCTTGGCAATGTAGGACATCCAGCCAGCATCAAGCACATCAAGAAGTTTTTGCCAGGATATGCAGCCAGTGCCTCAGATCTGCCACTCAAGGTCCATGCAACTGCTGTGATGGCCCTGAAAAGCATAGGCATGAAAGACCCCAAAATGGTAAGGAAACAAAGCTGCCTCCTTTGCACTTATGATAACCCAATGCAAGGATGCTAATTGATGATGTGTGATGAGGGGAAAGCAGACCTTTTTTCGTATATAACTGTAAAATGTTTATTTTAAAATACCTAACCATCCCTCAGTTGGCATGCCTTATTCCTTTTGACATTAACCTCTAGTATTTCAGACTGCAACAAAAATCCCATTAAAAGGGTACATTCATTACCCTGTTGTTGAAGACAAATCAGTATTTCCATTGCAAACATTTATTTTCCAAGGACATTAGACAGAAAGCTAAATTACTGGCCAAAATGTGTTTAGTGCTACTTCAGCTTTGGTATGTGAGAGAACCACAAAACAAGGTTTTCAGAGAATTGACATTTAATACGGAGTGTCACATCTAATCGTAATTCAAGACCAGATCTTATTGTAAATAGATACTGGAGGTTTGCATCCTAATTACAAATTTACAGACATCGTGTGGGTTTAAGTCATAAACAGAACATTTAATAAATGTGACTTTAGTCCCTGAACAAGATAATTAGATATCACATACAATGGTTACACGGGCATACTCTCATCCACCACAGACATCACTTTACAATCATTTTCACCTTAAAGCAATCTGCTTCTAAAAGGAAACCTTGTGTTTTCAAGCTTTTTTTTTCCCTGGCATTGATTTTTTTTGTTTTATATAAGACTGTTCTTAATATAAAAGTAAAATAAAAGCTTTCATTAACCATTCTCCTACTAATCTGTATCAGTTTTTTCCATTATACTCTTTTTTTGCATATGACTCCCAGTTTGAGTGCACATATTGATCCACAGACAATAGTGTGCCAGGGTATGCTTTTAAGCAAAAGAATAAAGAAACAATTTAGTAGAGTGCAGGAGCTAGATGGAGAGAAGCAGAGGGGGAGGACAGAATAGCAAAGAGTAGGAGTTAGGGGGTTTGCTGGGGAAGAAAAAAGCCTATTTGGTGTTTGACAACAATGTTGTCTCTGATTGCCCTTTGGCCCAGCTTTCCACAAGTGACCCAGACCACCCATTTTCTATGCATTTGCTTTGGAGAAAATTGATCTGGAGCAAGTGAATGCCTGTGGCTGGATTTCTCATTTTACAAAAACCAGTTTAAAGGCTGGCTTGAAGCTAGCCTCATGCCCATATTTAGATTAAACAGACTCAATACATGGTCTGTCTTTTACATTGTTTTATTTGAAAAGGTAGTTACATTTAGAAAGAGGCTACTGCCTCCTTGCCACCACCTTCACCTTGGTATTTGATAATCAACATGCACGAATTAATAAAACCAATCAGGATATGTCCAGTTCGTTGGACTTTTCATTAGAAAGCTTGGATGTGCGCTGTTCCAGGCAGGACAGGACTGCACAGAGGGGCTGCCAGAGCAGTGTTACACCATCCACATCCATTTTGAAGTTGGGGTCAAAGGCTTCAGCGCAGCTCATGGAAACTGGAATGGTTTCAGTATGAAATTAGTCCTTATGCTGTGTGTTGTTGGGGTCAAACACATTGGTCACAAGTAGTACTGTGGAAATTATATTTGTTGCATAAACATTCAGTTTTAAACTGCCTACATGATGTAGAGATTTATGGTAGTAAAATGGTTTTTATTCTAGCAGAAAGGGCTCCGGGGGATCAAATGATTAGAAATAAGCATACCTTTATTGGTACTGAAACCACTTCTTAGGTATGTGATGGATCCATGAAATCTCTTTTACCTAGAGTGGTTATGCTACAGAAATATTTTGCTATAGCTCAAAACCAGATAATATATTTGATTTAGAAGTTATCCAGCAAAGTTCCTTGGCTTTGATTGTGTAGGAAGTCAAATTACATTACCATAACAACCCTTCCAGCCCTCAGACTATGAAACCAGGAACACTGTTGCCACAATAAATTAAATAATATAATTTTTTTTACTGCACTACAATAAAGAGATCATTCACTGATGATGAATGTTTATTAGAAAAATGTTCAAACATACTGTAAATTTGAATGTATCTATTATTTTCAGGTCCAGGCTATTACGCTTGAGATATTCCTGAATCACAAAATTCATCCTCGGGTCCGAATGTTAGCTGCAGTGGTTTTGCTTGAAACCAAGCCAGGTCTTCCAATAGTGATGACATTAGCTGATGCTGTCCTGAAGGAACCTAGCATGCAAGTGGCAAGTTTCATCTACTCTCACCTGAGGGCTCTGGGTAGAAGCACAGCTCCGGATCTTCAAGTGATGTAAGGAAAATTTGGATCCCATCTCTAGATGAAAAAACTTGTTGCAAACGGAGGTGTTAATGTGCACACTGAATTTTTTCAGGGCTTCTGCTTGCAGAATGGCTGTCAGAGCATTGAGTTCCAAATTTGACAAATCTGGGTATCAGTTCAGCAAGGTTTTCCGCTTCAGTATGTTTAAAGGTAAGATTCAGAAGATTTTGTAGAGAAATACATACAGGTCAACGTGTGAAAAAAATTGTGCAGTATGAGAACTCAATTTTCCTAGCCAGTTGGTTAGCTGCATGTTGTTCCTCCATATTCTCCTATGTCTAATGAAAAAAAAACCCACCAGAAACCTCAGACTCTCCATTTAGAGAGTGTTTAGGTCCCTGTGTGTGTTTTGCATTGTACACTGCCAGCATGAAATTACCAAAGGGCTTGTGGGGCTCTAACCCTCCATTTTCATTAGCCGGTGAGGCACATGCTCCTGTATCAAATGCCGTGGTCTCAGTGGTGCTTAACAATTTCATACTATTGTTCAGCACCAAACAAACAGAAGGGATCTAAATTACTGCTGAAGTGGATTAATTTCTGCTGGTGCTGAACACCTACAACTCTTGCTGAATTCAAATGTGATGCTAAACGCTCTTCGCCCCAGCAGTGGTACCCAGTGAAACAGCAAACTCTGAAAACATCCAGGTGTGACAATTCATTGCAGCCATAAGCAGCTAACTCAGGCTTTTGTCTAGAGATTTTTGTTGCACCGTCCTACCAGGACTCTACTGGAATGAGCAGATTCATGCATGGGATCTGGAGGCTGACCAGTTGCATCAGTGGGAGTTGCACATAAAAATGTAGTCAGAGCAGGAAGGACCAGATTATAACATGGCTCTCGCTGGGCCAAATTGTAGCTATTTCCATCTTCCACTTATGTTATTTTTCTCAGTAGAGATCTTTGAAGCAACTCCACTATGTAAATTACCATGACAGCCTCAGTGATTTGGCGTATGTAACTGGCAGACTAGGGTGATTATATCTACTATCTACTGCTACTACTACTACTACTTCATTACTATCTATTGTATCTTATACAAGCTGTTTATCTAGGAGGACTTGGATGTTTTTAGTACTAAGTGTACAAGTACTTTTGCCTTCTTTTTGGAGGAGGAGACATGGTTTGAAAGACTTTTGTAGATCTTGTTGTTGCCTTGCCCCATGTGGTTTTTATATGACCGTCTAATCTGCCCGATAATGAAAATAAATATAATACAACCGCAGTAATGTATGATGCACATGCTTGCTGCCTCAGAGATGGAGACAGAGAGTGCCCAAAGAAGAGCAGTCACTAATACTCACTGTGCGAACTTTTGTACCATTTAAAATGTATTCAGGGATATACATATATATATATTTATATATATATATGTACAGGGAAATATATTTTTCAGTAATATGTGTTTTCCAGATCCATGTTTCTAGTTTTAGGTACTCATTTTCTCCTCTATTTTTGCTTTTAAAATGAACTATCTGAATTTTTGCACAGTGAGAAAGAGGAGTTCAGTACGCATGAGGGCAGCTGGCAGAGCTGTGTGAAATGGATTGCTTTGTTCTGGCTGTAGCCCAGAAATGCAGCACATCAGTGAATTGCAGTGAAGACCAGTGTCAGAAATTTGGTTACCACGCATACGTAATATTTAAATCTCTCATCCTGAAGAGTAAGGAACAAGATCCTTTCCTCACACATGCTAATCTTAGACTTGGATAACTCAGTTAGCTAAATGAAGTCAATCCACTATTACACTGGTGAGGGAGGAGGATCCATCCTCCAGCTTTCTGGTCTGATTTGTCACCACTAGCCACAGGTGAAATGTGTTTCAGCGAGTCCATTCTGGAGGAGTTACCATAGTGACGGCTGTAAGGCAGTACCTATTTCCTTGCTAAAAACAAAAATGTGCCCTCAGCATCACAGATCTCTGTGGTGCTAGATGCTGAATTATTAATGACAGGCAATAATGTCAGCTCAATCTCTCTCTGATCTGGAAGATGTCACACATGGCCACCACAAACAGTGCTTCATGCTCTGTAGACTGCTACTGAAATCGAAGGGATGACCTCATTTTGCTCAATGTGAGGACTGACAGAATCTGACTCTCAATGTGCACAAATTCATATAATTAAATATTTACTAATGTTCATAGGTACCAAAGACTGCTTTCTTTGATCACCAGTTTTTCTTTCCCTCTTCTCTGGGGCAAGATATTTAGTCAAATACACGCAGGTGCCGTCACACTCTCACAGTGAAGTGGCTACAGTGCATCATCTGATTGTGTCAACAGGAGTTTTCATCGGTAAATATTTTCTTAGAGCATTAGCGCTATGTAATGCCTGAGGTATGGAAAATATCCCTGCTCTCTTCAAGTCAATGAATTCTGTATAATCATTTAATCATTTATGAGCAACACTTCTTATTAAGTATCAGTAAGTACCATGGGTTTTTTTAACTAACACGTTTCATGGATTAGAACACAAAAAAAGAGCCTAAACAAATTCATTAAAAGTAGCATACCTCATTCTAGTGTCCAATCCATGTAACACCTAGGACTGTTCTGGCTAAGCTCACTCTGAAAACTAGTCTTCACATTTCCAAGTCTCAGGTCAGCTTATTAGTAATGCGCCAGTGCAGCATCACTTTGCTTTTTGGTTTCTATAGGATCAGCATTAAAATGTGAGCTTCAGTTGTCTCTCTTTGCTATCTCCTGAAGGATCTTCCCTGATTCCTCTGCCACCAATGGAGTGGCATACATACCTATGTTTTGATTGTAGGAGTTGTTACTGGGCCACATATGTTGTAGTTAGATAGTTCCTAGCACTTTGGGTAGCACAGGAGCTTCATACAGCAAAACAGTGAAGGTGCTGTAGTGAAATGCAAGTTCATACAGATTTAGCAGACCAAGTACATTGCTTTCCCAGCAGACTGTTTCTCAAATACATGAAAAGTTTGAATCTGTCCTGAGAAATTAGAAATCAAAATTAGTTCAGGCAGGCAATGTGTTATGAAACAACTTAGCGTGAGGAGTAAACAAGGGTAAGGTACCATCCAGAGCCCTGTCTGTATGCGTGGGTTCAGAAGAGAATAGGAAAGTGTTAACTCACAGGTGAGATGTTATCTGAAACAGAGAGTGGCACTCGAGAAGTAATACGGGCATGAGTATTCATAACGCCGCACATTTGTGAACCAAGCTATAACCTTTTCCTTAACTTTCGGCTAAATAATTCAGGCACTCCTTTTCTGGAAAGAGCTCGAAGACTCACTTTTATAATGTTTGAAAATACATTTCCTACAATTCATCAGTGATTTATGTACATGTGCTGAAATTATGGTCTGGATCTTTCAGGGCTCTGCAATCATCCTCGCTGTACTGGATTTCCAAAGGTGATTTCTGGTGGTGTTGGGATTTAATGAGTATATGGTACCTATGTCTAACACAAGGATAGCGGAACTTAGGAGCTCCTAAAATACTTTCCTGGCCTCCAGCTAGTGTGGGAAGAGAAGAGAGAGGAGGGCTGGAAGAAAGGAAGCATGGCAGGGATGTCAGCCTTGTTCCTCTTGAAACTTAAGGAAACTTAGAGAAACCTTGGGATTACTTTAACTCAGAAAACAGGACTGTATAGACCTGTGCCAATACATCACTCTGCTCTGCACTGATTATCTGTATCTAAGAACATTATAGATGATAAATCTAAAGTAGAGAAAATAGACACAAATTGTGTTTGCTCAAAGTTCACTCAAGAGTTAACAACTACTTAACAATTAGTGCAGTTCATGTCAGCAGTTACAGCATTAGGAACTAGATGTATTAGATTGCCTCTGAGTCATTTGAGAGACAAATCTACACCTCACCATCTGTCCTTATAGGACATCTATATCCCTTTCCCTAAACTATTAGTAGAGGATGGCAAATCTGGTTTCATTTCTGATCCCTTTCATCAAGTTGCCCTAAATGACATCTTTGTAAAAGCATTTCATAAGCTGACATTACAGAATCTGACTGGTTATAAACAATATAGCAGAAGCAATCGGAAAAATAGCATAACCACCATGTAATGAGCAGGAGGCTTCTAATTTTGCCTATCAATAGTTAAAAAATGAACGATATTTTGTTTATGACTGGTTTATAACATCACTTTTATAGCCGGGTTTTTCTGGCCTTTCTTATACTGTATCAGTTGATTTATATAATTAGTAAATTGATACAACCTACACACTGTGGCTTTAAAAACTAATTGTGCTGTGTTTTACTGCTTGTTTCTCTGCAGAGATCCTTATGAGTGGAGTAGCAGCTAAGTATTTGGTATTGAATAATGCAGGGAGCTTAATTCCAACAATGGCAATGTCCCAGCTGCGGACACACTTCCTCGGAAGAGTGGCTGATCCCTTGGAGGTAATGGAGTCTCCCCACAGTTTGCCCTCTCATTCCTTCTTACAACCATCACCCAACTGGCATTTATGCTTTACTTCTTCCCACAGGTGGGAATAACGGTTGAAGGACTGCAGGAGATGTTTGCTAAAGGTTACTCTCCTGATCAGGACTGGGAGACTGACTTCGACTTCAAGGAAATCTTGAAAACGGTAAATTCTTGGGAAAAAGAAAACCTCTAAGATATCGCTTCCCCAAATGTGATGAAGAATCAGACTTTCTTCCTCTTCTCATGCAGCTCTCTGACTGGAAGGCATTATCCAGTGACAAGCCTTTTGCATCAGGCTACGTGAAGATGTTTGGCCAAGAGTTCTTCTTTGGTGGACTTGATAAAAACGCCATCCAAAATGTATTACAGGTATCATTTCAAAAACACCACCACCCAAGCATCAAAAGCTTAAAATCCTGTTTCTTTCACACATTCTCTCCCTTTTTTAATTTCTTAATTCAAGAGGGATTTTGTCTTTAGTATTAATCAAGGCAAATAAGGTCAAGCTTTGATCAGGATTAGATATAATCATTACTGGCAGACTTTCCCCTGAGGCACAGTTAATGACACAAATCATGATATTCAAGTTCTGCTTATTTAGACACATTGAACTCTGTAATTGCAGGCATGGTATGGACCTGATGAAAAAATCCCCTCAATAAGGAGAATAATCAGTAGCCTTCAAAGTGGTGTAGGGAGGCAGTGGACCAAGGCTTTACTGTCCTCTGAGATCCGTCGTATCGTGCCCACTTGCACTGGGTTCCCAGCAGAGACCAGCTTCTATTACTCTTCTATCACAAAAGTGGCAGGAAATGGTAATGTATTTCAAGATTTGAGCAATACAAACATGCTTGTCAGGATTAGGGGAGGGGGATTTTTAACGCTTTTTTTGCTTGCTTTGTCGTAGTTCAAGCACAGATTACACCTTCTCCGAAGTCTGATTTCAGATTGACTGAGATATTAAATGCCAACATTAGGCTGCGATCCAAAATGAGTCTAAGGTAAATATTTAGTATAAATTAAAAGATTTATATTTCCAAGTGGCAGAGGCTGTAAAAATTCAACAGCTGTTTGCTGTCTGAATATAATTTTACCCTCATTCTACCTTTTCAGCATGGCTAAGGAGATGACCTTTGTAATGGGGATCAACACACACATGGTCCAGGCCGGGTTGGAATCACACACCAAAATGAATGCTCATGTACCTGTGAATGTTGTTGCCGCTGTTCAAATGAAGGAAAAAAATATCAAGATTGAAATTCCACCATGTAAAGATGAGATGAACATAATTACTGCAAGGTAAGACATAGTACTTACTATCTTTGTATGTAGCAATGCAGAGTCCTTCCAAATAAAGCAGAACTTTTCTTAGGGATCTTATCTTTGACTGATGGCTTGGGTAACTGGCAATGATTGATGTAGTTTATTTATTTTAAATGAAGTGACATCCACCAAAGATTTGCATTACTTCCTTTGGTCTTCACCTGAAATCCTCTTTAGGATCATTTCTCAGTTGTTGAAACCCATAAGCTATTTGAAACACAAATGGCATAAAATTTCTGCTCCAATACATATATTTGGACTGGAGACACTAGGTGAGATATAAGCCAGCTGAATCCTATGAGTTATAACAGATAACCCATATATATTTGCATTTGATGCCTTGAAGCGTAGAGGATTTGGTGTTTCTTGTGTTTTTATCTTGTTTCCTTCTCTGCGGCTGCCATTTGGTTTTCTTGCCTGTTAGGTCTACTTGATTTATTATCAGTACATGCAATTACAATACACTCTGGAAAACTGTTGTAGCCAGATGCCAAACAAATGAAAACAGATGGAAATACAAGCACAAAGAGAGGGAAGAATCAGAAAGAGTATGTCCAAGGAATCAAAGCGGTAGACCAAAGCTTAGAAAACCTTCACACGCACACATGAAAAAATACTGAGAAAGACAAGCTGAAAATTCATCACAAAGGAAAACGCATCACTGACAACAGAAATCAGCTATTATACAATCCATGAAATGTTAACAAGTATCTGCTTTAGGAATACAGCCATTACAAAAGAGCTCAGTTGCTTGATCCAGCTGCAATTAGCGTTCGTGGCTGCTGGCCCAGAGAATCTCTGCAGGTCTCCTCAGCTGAGCCACCAGTTAGGCTTTCTCCTTTGCCCTTCAGTGGTCACAGACCATTCTAGTAAGCATTTGACATCACATCCTCCTCCCTAAGATGATTCCTCCACTTCATCAAATGTGATTGTAATCTCCTCGTGGAGAGGAGGGAGGGTTTTGGCAGTTCATAGAGCATTCCTTAGCTGTGTGTAAGCTTCTGGGACACCACAGCTCAAAGGTTCTTTTCAGTTTCTTGTGAAGACCAGAACAGTCTGCTCCCAAGATCATCGGAGACAGCAGGCACCTGCTCTCACAGTGGAAAGGGTGAGGCAGATACTGCTGAGCTCAATAAGGATGCTGAACTGAGATGAGAATATTGGACACTGATGCAGAGTTTAGATACTCAAGCAGAGCTAGAAATGTTAGCAGAGGGATCCTCCCTGCAAAGCAAAATAAAAAATATTTTCCTTCTTTCACTTAAGGAGAAATCGAATCGGACACAAAAATGGTTAAATGCATTGCTGGAAAGCACAAAACAAGTCTGTATCAGAAGCAGGGGATTACAGGAGAGGAGCCCATGAGTTCCTGCCCAAGCCCTGCTCTAGAGCCTGCAGCATTATCATTTATAAAATGTAGTCGGTCGGAAATAGCTCCATATTGGAAAGTGTATGAGAAAGCTAATACTCACTGGCTAACTTTTAGCACCATCAATTTTTCTCCAAAAAGCATTCCCATTCACTGTTACAAAACAAATGGTCAGTGAAAACCCACAGAGCAATGAAACAGCAATGAGTACAAGTGAAGGCAAAGCAATAACTGGAGAATGTAACACTGGACCACATCACTGAGGAGGTCAAAGACCAAGCAAAGTAAAATCTTCAAGGTATGAAAAGAAACAATCAGGCATGGTAGAAAGAGAAGAGATACATAAATATTTATACAGAATGAGTAAATAAAAATAGATTAGCATAGACTTTCTCTTCCTTTTGCATAGATCCACCAAAGAATAGAGAACCTGTTGCCTTCAATATTTTAGAGATATTCTGACACCTTCCCTTGTTAGCTTTAAAATCCCCATTTAAAGAGATGGCTCTGTTCAAAATAGTAGAGTATTCAGCACTTTGTCTCGATGGTCAGTGGGTTATTTCCTAGAGCACCATGTCATTAAAGCTAGTCAGGACATGATATTACTTTTCCCTCCATGTCTCACACCTAGATACAGGACACAAACAGTCCTCAATAGCGTTAAGTTCCTACACACTGTACAGGTTATAACCTGTCACAGCTGTGGGATTTATATAAATTTTTCAGGAGCCTAAGAGAAACACAGGTGAGCAATCACAGACCCTACAGAAAAAAAAAATAATGAAAACTGGTGATAGAGAGATTGCATTCCCAAGACAAATCAGCACATTACAGGCTAGGCTTTTTTTATAGCAAAAATCAGAGCAAACTAATTAATCACACCGTGGAGAGAATATATAGCATGTGTTGCAATCCAATCTTATCAAAGTTAAATTTAATTAAAAATAATAGTTATTTTTAAGATTCTTTTAACGTAATTATTTGGTATACTACAGATGGCTACTTAAACATACTTTTAAACAAAATTTATGGGAATAAGTAAAAATCAAATAAATTTCAGGGAAAAATTAGAGCCCTGTGATTAAAGTATAAATATGGAGAGCTGCCAGAGAATGCACTTTGCAAATATATCACATATTCATAATGACAGGCTACTGAAATATGTACATAATCTTGAATAGAGCTTCTATCACAGGGCTTTTTTGCTTGTTTTAACTGTAGGATAAGCAGAAATTTCTTCGCATGGGCATCTTCTTGATAAGATGAATTACAAAATTACAACACTGTATACAACATGCATACAGCTCATGTAACAGAAAATGCAGAAGAGCCAGCGTACGCTGTGAGCTTGCAAGGCAGCGTGGTGTGTTTGGGGACAGAGAAGGGAAATGACTCTATTTTTGTAACACCAGTGTCAGGACAATGCAGTGTAGAAGGCAGAAATTTTCATTTCACCACAGCAGAAAGAGAGGTGAAGATCTGGTTGGAGGATTGTCTCTTGCTTCTCATTTATTTAGATATGATGTCATGCTGTGCTTTAAAACCTAGGAAAATAGGAGCGTTTTGTTGATTTTTTTTGTTTTGTTTTAAATAGACATTGAGCTCTTCTGTCCCTGTGCTAGGGATGTATGTAAGGCCACACTCACTGAAACATCAGTGGGCCGAACACAGCTGAATTGCTTGTCCCTTACCCCTGCAGTGAATTCAGCTTATACTATAGCACAGCTTCTTCTCTCATCCAAAAAATACACTAATACATATCGGAAAAATCTCCTTTTTATTTTTTCTCCCTTCTGTGGGATCAGAGAGAACAGATTCTTTCATACCATAGCTTTAGGCCTTCTTTGTGACTGTTTTTCTTGTTAAAGCACCAGAGCTGGTGCTTGTAGCCTATTTTTACTGTGCTGTGTGATTCTGCAGACATTGACATGTGTCACCTGTGATGCAGTTACATTTGTCGGCTCTCTGTGCTCAACAGGGAGGAATCGATCCTCCACTTTCATTAGGTGGCAGGAGTAGACTACTGGCATAAAAAAATACTAAGAAAAAAAAATTTGGAAAAGAAATCCCAGGGCTTTCTGCTTGGAGACCCAGCCTGCAGTTCAGTGGTCATTTGAATTATTGAATGGGATTAAAATAAAAGCCATTTCCCTTTCTGTCCCTTTACCCAGATAAGCCATCTGAAATGCAAGTTGATTTGTAATTTCTTTTATCCCCTCAGCTTGTTAGGGAGAATATTTTACTTCAGATTCCATTCTTCAAGGTCCTCCTATCACCCAGCGTGGAGCATTGCTGTCATGTCCTTATCTAAAAAAAAGAGAGAGAGGAAAAAGAAAACAAAGCCCACAGGTGACACACGTTTTATTGAGGTGTTCCTCATGAAGTGCAATTGTGTGCTTTACAGTGCACACAGCACGGTAGGATCCTTCAAGAGGAAGAGAGGGCCATCAAATGAATACAAATGCATCTTTCAAATATGTAAGATTGGAATTGCTTAGGCTAGTGCAGTGTGGACCATATCAAAACAGAGGCCGTTTCGCAGACCGTCTTTCCATTCACTGCCACAAAGGCCACCTCCATTGGCAGACCACAAAAGCCTCAGGGTAAGCAGCTCAGCTTCATACTTGAGGAACAGCGCATGGGGAATTTTGAGCCGGATATTAGCGCTGATAAATGGCTAATAAGGTAGAATTAGCTCAATGTTAATAGCTGAGGGAAATCAATAGGTTTTCATCTCTCAGAAGTGTTCAGTATTCAAGACGTTTCTCTGACGCAAACCAAAACTCATCGTTATCACAGCGTTGTAACAACTTCCATGAAGAATGTGGGATATGGAGCCAGAGGGTCAGGATATTTAGCCATTAGAGTCTCAGTCTCGTGCTGCACCTTATATCACTCATCCTGGATCCTGGCTAATAGAGTACACAGCACTGGAAACAATGCACTGAAAATACGTACATAAATAGGCTTTAACCTTCCTACATATTTCTGTGTGATGTCTTGCCAAACCACGACCAAGCCATGAGTACCTCTGAATTTCGATCAAGCTGGAGACACTTACTTTGATGATTTCAGGCTCCTTCCTTTAATTTAACAAAAGTTGCATGGGAAACAGCGTTCAGTAGCCACCAGCACCTAGGGTGTTAGTTGGAGTTATGGCAGTATTTTCCCAAATATAATGTTAAAGGAAATGAGAACAAAGTTCAGCAGCGAATACAAAGAAGATGAGTTTAAAAAATTAAAAGTCCAGAAGACCAAAATAGGAAACTCAAAAATCTAATTATATAATCCACAGCCAGGCTTCTAAGCTCTTCAAGGTGTTAGGCATATGGAGATCCCATCAGCTGCAATGCTTTTAACCTGTACACATGATTCAAAAAGCCTAACTGAACTATCTGCCCCTGAGATTGGTCTGTATCTTTATTCACTCTTAGCAGACCTTGAAAATACAACTAACAGGCAAGATGCTGTCAATATCTCTAAAGCAATTTGCAAGGCATGATACTTGTTGCTGAGGACATGCTACGAGAAATTATTCAGGTCTTTTCCTCAGCAGTACTTTATCAATACAGGTTTCCTCTAATGTTTATTCTGCAGGTCTAAGACGTTTGCCGTTACACGAAATATTGGGGATTTGACTGCTAGTAAGATGACTCCAGTTCTTCTCCCTGAAGCAGTGCCTGACATAATGAAGATGTCCTTTGATTCAGATTCCGCATCAGGCGAGACTGATAACATCAGGGTAAATGATGTAGTGCCTGACTATTCTTTTCTGGGCTTTTAATCAGTGGGAGACCATTTCTTTTCTCCATAGGAAAATGTACAATTAGTCTCTGACCAATGCTGCTACACTCAAAATAAGTCAGATTCAATCCAATAACACAAATAACCCTATAGTAACAGTGTTTTGAAATCTGAAGTGTAATACATCGGACTTGCAACACTTTTTCAAAAGCAAAATCATTTTTTTTAGTAATTAATTTTACACTGCCATCTACAGGATAGGCCCACAATCTTTAAAATACTTTGCAGCCATTATGCAACCATCACATTCCTGGGGCAGCCACAAATGTTCCACTAGATGCTCCATTGCTCAATTTGTAGAGCCAGATTCAATGCTTATAAACATCCCGAGTCAAGGATGGATGGCAGTTTGTGTGTCAAGTCAAATGACTTCCTGAGCTACAGTTTTCAAGACGTCACCATGACAATTCATTCCATGAAAGGCTGACAGAGGTGAGGAATACGCTGTTCTGTTCTGGTTTCATTGTTGTCCTGCAACTATGAAGGGTTTTCAGACAGAATAAGACGTGAAGAGAGGATGAGTACAGCACTTTCCCATGGAGAAGTCAACAGGCAAACGTACTGTCAGAGCAGTTTCCAATATCTTGGCACATGGAGAGTCCTCCTGCTTTGTGCCTCTGTGCTGCCCTTCCTGAAAACTGAGCGCTCCACAGTTGTTCTTAAATGAACAGCAACTGAAAAATGGCACTAACTGAAGCATTTCCCAGTATCATTAGAGTTTAATTTGGAAATACAATATTAGCATTAAAATTTCAGTTTTTCAATGAGGTTTGGAATCTTGTGAAACCTGATAAACTGAGTAAAAAATTAATTGCAAACCTATATTACATGTGAAATGAAAGTCTATAATTATATGTCTTTAGCTTTTTGCTTTGTTGCTGCAGGAAATCATAGTTTTCATTTCATGTATTTGATTGTGATTTAAATTAATTTTAAGTGGTTCTTATGCCAGCATTGCTTAGCACATGTAAATGACATATTTTTGAGTGGATATTTCTAACATCTGCTATGTTTTGACCATCTAGTTGATACAGTCTTATATTCATGTCAGACCTCAACTGACAGGGAATTTGTTGTTTGACCTAATCATAAATCAAAGAGAAGAGCTCCAGTCAGTCTAGAGTGCACTCAGATTTTTCAAGAACCTGTTAATACTGTCTAATACTCCAGGAAAGCAAAATTAAATATTTAGAGTTAATTTGTGATATAATTTTCCATTCTTATAGCCTGAAGCTCTTCTTACACTAGATAGTCCAATCAAGCCATTCAGTTGATAATTTTGTCCAGCTGAAAACCAAATTGTTCTATGTCACAGCCTTGCTATCTCAGATAAACTGGTTAATTCCTCTTGCAGAATATATGTAACTATTACCAGAATGAAACTCATAACATGCAAGTATTCCTCCTAGAGTTGTCCGGTTAACTTGACATGTGTATTATCCAATAGGTCAGACAGTCTGCAGAAGATGTTTCATCGGGAGATTCGTTTTCCTTTGGACAGTCTTCTTCCAAAAAAGAGCCATTTGTTCAGTCCATGTGCTTCAATGCAAGTACATTTGGGGTTCAAGCATGCATTGAGAAGAAAAGTGTACATGCAGCATTTATCAAAAATGTGCCTCTTTATTACCTCGTTGGAGAGCACGCCTTTAGAATGAGCTTCAAGCCAGGTAAATACAACTCTGCACTAAAACAAGAGTAACAGATGGGTGGGTAGGGATGTTTGTATGTACACCTATATATTTGTATAAGTACATATATATCCTTTGTGTCTTATGTACCACTAAAACTACCATCAGAACTAGCAGCCTTGCCAGTATTGGCAACAGACTACGTTTGTAGCAGGAATCCATTTCTCCCCCACTCTGCTGAGCAGTGATTTCCCAGCTCTCCCAGCAACCCCACTCAGCATGGCCAGCATCAAGCAGAGCTGATCTGTGCCTGCAGAGCGTGTCTGATGCATCCTGAATCATTGGATTTGGGATGCAAGCACAGAGCAATTGGACATGGGCAACGGATCTGATGCAGTGTCCTGTAGCTACACTCTAAAGACCCAGACTCTTAAAGGGAATTATGGATTAACCATGCCAGGATCTAGTCCTTAATGTCTTAATCCATGATCATAAGAAGTAAAAGCACAGCAGGCCACTGAATCTGCGTCTCCTAGGTATCAAACTAATGGCCTAACCACTGGGACATTCTTTACAATTCAAGAGTTGAGCTTCAATTCCTCTCTGATGCCTAATTCACTGTCCCATAGTGTTATCTAGTCAGGAAATCCAATTCACTTGACCTGAAACTGCTGATTATTCTCTTTATTGACTACAATCTATTATGCTAATGATATAAAATTTGGTTATTGTGAGAATGTGCTTTAGCTACTACAGAATCTTTTTAGCAAACTTGCTCAATACCAAAATAATCAATGAGCATTTATGTTTTCA